ACTCTACATGACCTTTCTTTGCAAAGTTATAGAATTTACACGAAGAGCCCTAAATTAATTTCTTCTTATTTCTGTAGCTTTTAGCTGACAATGAACATTTAGGGCTTTTGTTGTAAATTCTATAACTGTGAACAGCTGATAGAATTTGGAACTTGCTGTGCACTCCGGTTAAGAAAGCTTCTTCAAAGAACACATTTAGAGTTAAAGAACACAGTTTTCGGAGAAAGCAGCACTTTAGTATTCGAAAAAACCAAAATCGGAGTAAATCATCCCTCAGATTTCTCCGAAATTCGGAGTAAATCGTTCATATATAATTACTTATCGATTCCCCGAAACCAGTTCAGGATATATGCAGTAAGTGTTCTCTACAATCTGAGAAGGTTTAACAGTACCTTTTATGGGGTCCGCCCCTGCTTAAATATAATATGGAAAAATATTTAATGGATTTTTAATATTAGTCGTTTAACACTTTTCTTATTAACATTAGACTATAGACCCCATTACCATATGGCTCTGGTAATTTATCGGATCCGTGCAATTCATTTACGATCATTAAATATTTTTCCATATTATATTTAAGCAGGGGCGGACCCCATAAAAGGTACTGTTAAACCTTCTCAGATTGCATATATCCTGAACTGGTTTCGGGGAATCGATAAGTAAAGAGCTCGAAGACGTCTCATTTTCTTCAGAAATGTTTGCTCTACAGAATGGAGTTTTTGCAACGAATTTTTAGACTGAACTCTGGGAGTTGGTTTTCTGAGATTTTGGTTTTCCAGAGACCCTAGTTTAAAGAGCTATGATAGAACCCTTTTAAGTAGCACAGCAAGTTCCAAATTCTATCAGCTGTTTAAATCTTTTTTCAAATTTGTTCTAGCTTGTATGGTCCACGAGAAAAATCAAAAATAAAGGTGGCGAGCAAGTTTTGGAGCCATTCTAGGTTAAAGCGGCGCAGTATTTTATACCCAAACACGGCTGCCAGGCTTCGTTAAGTTTCCTTTTAACATATCTTGCAGAGCGCAGGCGCATCGAATGATGTATGAATGATTAGAGATCATGTTTAGTTTCTAAGAAGAAAGCGAAAAAGAGTTCATTTAGCATAGCCTTGATCTTTGGAAAAGTCTAGTATTAAATTTATAAAACATGCTGCTCCACTTCGTTAAGTCTCTTATTAACACATATCGTAGAGCTTTTCAAGACGTATCAAATGGTGTATAAATGATTAGAGATCATCTTTAGTTTCATAGAGAAAAGCAACCGACGGTTCGCGTAGCATAGCGGCGACCTATGAAAAAGCTAGTATTTGATTCATAAAACCTGCTGTCAGGCTTCGTTAAGTGTGCTATTAACACATATTGTAGAGCTTTCCAAGACGCATCGAATGATGTATGAATTATTACAGATCATCTTTAGTTTCATAGAGAAAAGTGACCGATGGCTCGAGTAGCATAGCGGCGACCTATGAAAAAATCTAGTATTTGACTCATAACGGCCGTGTGGAAAGGAGTTCGCTTAGCATAGCCTTGATCCATGGAAAAGTCTAGTATTAAGTTTATAAAACATGCTGCCCCACTTCGTTAAGTTTCTTATTAACACATATCGTAGAGCTTTTCATGGCGCATCGAATGATGTATTACGCTAGGCTTAATATAGTACTGTTACTGAGAAATGTTTATTTTATAGTCATACTGTTGGTGCTAAACTGTTGCTTGGTTTCAAGTAGATTCTGCCGGGTATATTCGACTGAAATCGTCTGGAAGGGTCGAAATCATCGAATATGATAATCGGATGTGTTTCTGATGAGGTTGAGACCGATTAGAGGGGTTATTGTTAGTGGGCCGATTATCGTTCTTATGCGGACTTCACCTTTAACATGTTTTACTGAATGTATCGATATAAGAATGAAAACAATATGTTTGGATTGGCGTGATGTATGTGATGGCAAAATTGATTGTTTAGATGCACAGGATGAATACAGTTGTTTGGAACTTGAAAAACATCAATGTAATAATGAAACAGAATATCGTTGTCGATTGGGCACATGCGTTCCAAAACGTTTTACATTTGACTTTGTATTAGACTGTACAGATGGAAGCGATGAACAACTTGTGACGAATGCTCCCTTATTTGGAACATATTGTGCATTAAACCAGTCTGTTACATGCGAAGAATATCATTGTGGATGGAATTCATTTTCCTGTGGAGACGGTCAGTGTACACGATTTCCTTTGATGTATCGAAAATGTTGGAATTATCGAGATCTAATTTATTTTATTAATATGTCAGATACAACGGACAATGATCGTTGTAATGATTATATGATGTGTGCATTATTCGGTCACGATCATTATTATAATAGCCCGATTGATTGTGATTATGATCAATGTGATATTTTACTTGAATCTCATTGTTCAGAAACAGTTCTATATCCTCCACACAATGCGTTTGCTTATCCGTCTATTCGATTGAAATATATTGTCAAAAGACATATGATGAATTGGAAAGAAAATATTACACCAGCTTACATTTGTTATGATGAAATATTATGTCATGAATCATTTACATCCACATTCTTCTTTGGTAATTTATCCTGTAACCTCTTCGAAGAATTTGGTCTAGCACATAGAATATATGCGAGAAGTGATTGGAATTATCGATTACGAGATATTGAAAAATTATTTTCTGTTTGTTCTACAAATAATAATTGTTCAAATGATAATCAAAAACGTTTATTTTCTTGTACGAACGCTCATAACAGTAGTTGTATACCTAAAGAACGTTTACTTGATTTCTCAATAGATTGTCCAAATCAGAATGGTGAATCAAGTTTATTGAACACGTGTAAGATGAATTTATCCAGTCGTTTTCGGTGTTTTTCTACAGATAATTGTATTCCAAGAAAATTTTTAGTGGGCGGTTTCCCTCATTGTCCAGATGAATCAGATGAAATATATTTTAAAATTAGATGTTACGAAAGAGATGATTTAGGATGTCAGTGGATACGTGATACAATCAAAAATGCTTATAATTTCGTATTTCGTAAAGTATGTGATGGTATCATTGATATAACAATCGGAAATATGACTGATGAAAGCGATTGTGAATTATTACCCTGCGAAACAAGTTTTACAAGATGTAATCAAGTATGAAATTGCAGAGATGGACGTGACGAATTAAATTGTCCTTTATTGACAGCACATCACCAAGCTATTTTACCATGTAATGCTGATGAATATTACTGCATAAGAAATGATTATGATAATCTGACTTGTTATAATTCGAAATTAGCTGCTGTTGGTGTTAATAATTGCTTAGGCAATATTGATGAACGTGCTTTTGGTTTTTGTCGTGAAAAGTATCAGTCGTCTGATACTCCCGGACGATTTCATTGTCGGAACAGTACAACTTGCTTGACACCTATTGAACTATGTGATGGTGTAAAACATTGTGATCATGGAGACGCTGAGGAATTATTGTGTAATTGGTTACAGAAATATAAAGTACCACCTAGATATTTTGTATGTAAAAATGGCGATATGATACTGCAGACTTACCGATGTGATTTTGAATTTGATTGTGACGAAGGCGAAGATGAATGGTTTTGTGATGTATCCGACGAAGTAATTCAGACGATTTATGGAGCAGTGATGAGGCCCGAGTCGTCGATGTTATATTTTAATCCATATCCTGTTCTTGACACATCAACGATCATGAATGTTGTATCAACGGAATTAAAGTCCATTGTTGAGACAGAATCGGTCAATACTGTCAGAGAAAACCGTCAAAGTCTAGCTGAATATCTTGGATATTCTTGTAATCGAGGAGTTCTTGTACATCGACAATAAAATAATAGTGATCATTGTTTTTGTCCCGCAAGCTATTATGGTGATCGGTGTGAATATCAAAGAAAACGAATATCAATTACATTTCAGTTTGATACACCAGTAACATTATTTAAACCGAGAACAGTTATAAGACTGGTCTTTTATTTAATAAACAATAGCACTGATGAAGAAGGTGAATTTGTCATTCATTCTGAACAGATCACTCATATGCCTTATAGCTATTCAACTAACAAATATTTTCTCTATTTATTGTATCTCCGGAAAACACCAACAAAAGATAATTATTATGTAAGAACTGATGCTTTTCTTTTAACAACATCTAATGTTATGTTCATTGCTACCTGGTATCATCGTCTTGTCTTTCCGTTTTTACCAATTCGGCGACTTGCACTAAAACTTGTGCTGCAGGAAGAGCACAGTAATGAATTATGTGAAAGAAGAGCAAAATGTCTGCATGGTACATGTGTGCCATTTCAAAATCTACATGATAAGTATTTTTGTAAATGCAACACGGGTTGGTCAGGTTTATATTGTGATCAAGTAGATAATGTGTGTAAAAAGGATATTTGTGCTTTAAATGCATTTTGTATTAATCAGTTAACAACAACAAGACCCATATGTATTTGTCCATTGGGTCAGACGGGTCCAACATGTTGTGTTAGGGATTTGCAATGTGAAGTAAATCCATGTTACAACGGTGGTACTTGTATTCCATTAGACAGTAGATCATCAAAAGAGAATACATTTGTATGTGTATGTCAAAAAGAATTTACAGGCAGTCAATGTCAACAACCATGTAAGAAAATGAATATATATTTTAATCAAACTTTAACCGATGCTGTTGTAAACTCGATTCCTGTCGTTGCAATACATTTTGTTTCGGTTTCACATACCCCTGTTGGTCAAGAAGATCAAACACCTGTTATGAAGCAATACTATCGCTTTATATTCACAGACGTTCATGTAGGAACATACATGCCAACTATCTATTATGATGTTATTGGAAAAATTGATGCTAGTTTTATACAAATATTTGAAGACACACAAAATTCATATGGTAAATGCTATCTAGTTGCCTTATACAATGATACTAAAAAGCAAATAAATTCTTTAAACACAAGTGTTATTGAACAAAACCGTTGTCCATACATTAATGAATGCTTTAATGATTCAGTAGTCAATTCCTTTCAGTTAAATCGTGCAAAATATTATCAATTACCCTGTCAAGAAAATCGTAAATTAGTATTTATGTGTTTATGTGATCGAACTCATTCAACCGAGTGTTTTTTGTTTGGTCATAATAAAGGTCAATGTACGGGTGTTAACTATTGTATTAATGATGGTCTATGTATATAAGATAATGAGAGAAATCCTTTAAACTATGGTTGTATTTGTAAAGATTGTTATTATGGGAGCTTATGTCAATTTACGACATCCGATTATATGTTATCAATTGATTCATTAATTGGACCCGACATACGAACAAACGTAACAACTCTCAAACAACAATTGTCTATTGTTAAAGTTTATTTAGGATTGAGTATAGTGTTAATCATAATCGGAAGTATTTTAAATTTGTTATCATTTATGACATTCTGTCAAAGGAAAACACGTGAAGTCGGATGTGGTATCTATTTATTATGTTCATCTGTTATCAATCAAATTAGTTTATGTATATATTTTTCAAAATTTCTCTATCTATTACAAATACAAATGTTTAACAAAAGAAATATCTATGCTTGCGTTATATTAGAGTATTTAATACGTGTGCTTCCATCAGTCTGTGATTATATAAATGCATTTGTAACAGTTGAATGTGCTTATACTCTCGGTATTCGTGGTACAATATTCCAAAAACAACGAACAAAACGTGTTGCTAAAATTTTGATTATTCTATTATTTGCTGTTCACATGTCCAGTTGGATTCATGAACCATTGAACCGCCAATTACTTGAAGATCCACGTATCAATGGTGGACGTGCATGGTGTGTGCTGAATCTGAATGGCAATCGTTTATTAAGAGTCTATAATTCAGCACTGACCATCGCCCATTATATGATACCATTTATTCTTAATTTAACCAGTGCATTAATTATATTAATTAGTACATCACGAAAAAAATCTGATGCTAGACATCTGAAATATACTACAGTACTAAAAAACCAACTTAGTGAACATAAAGATTTACTAATAAGTCCAATTATCTTATTATTATTGGCATTGCCACGTTTAATATTTACATTTGCATTCAGTTGCATTCATCAAAACGCATGGCAAAAATATTTTTTACTATTCGGTTATTTACTTTCATTTGTACCCCAAACAGCAACATTTCTAATGTTAGTGTTAACATCACAATTATATAAACAAGAATTTTGCAAATTTGTTAAGCGGCAGATAAAACGTCGTGATCGACAACAATAATTCTCTGAAGCATCAATGATGAACATTGTCCTTCATTTGTGTTCAATCTTGTGCAATAAATGTTCTTTACTAATGATACAATTTGGTAATCCTTAAACATTTCTTCGTGTGTTATATAAGGATTCTAAACCCTTACATAAGCTTTTATTTGTCAAAGTTCTCATCAAAATTATTTGGTAAAACACCAAGCAGTTTGTGTACACGAATATCTTACAACAATGAATTCCAATAAGGATAAATGTATTTAAGTAAGGTGAACATGTTTATTTTTTCCCCTCATCAATACGGTTTCCGTGCCATGCCTGAATCAAGGCGTCGCATGGCTCCCGTTTTGAAGAGGACGCTTATAGCCTTGGCTACCCACAACCAGTTGGAAAGCTTGGCTCGAACATTAGAGGATAATCTTCTTGCCCTGCGCTCGACCATGTATGATTATCCCTCTGTACCTTTGCCTCCTCCTCCATCGTTCATCGGTTTCTGAACCACTTATTGTTTTCCCCTCCCTTCTCCGCCCTTCTTCCGATACCCATCCTTACTGTTTCCCTAGTGTGCACTTTTGAGACCTGTAATTCGAACAGGGACAAGAAGAAGCGCCATTCGACCTCGGTGATTTTGTCCTCGTGCGTACTGAACATCGTAAGCTCCCAGCACGAATTACCCAAATTCTCTTTCTGCAGGACAAATATGAAACTGAGTTCTATGATGGTTGTGACTTTCTCGCACAACGCTATCTAACATCGAGTTGTCACATATTCCCTTACTCCCTTGAGGATGACTCAGTTTATCAGTTGTACGCCTCGGATATTCTTCTTTCTAACTCTGAAGATGAACGCACTCCGTCAGTAGATGCTTACTCAACTGGCCTTCCCTCAAGCGAAGCTGACATAGTCCAGCTAGCTCTAGTTTCTTCTTTGTCTACTGATAAATCCACTGCGCCGAGTGTGCCGATTCCCTCGTCGGTCTGTCCGACATATTTTATGAGCATGATCCATATGAAGCTTTTTATGCCGCGGTTGCTGATGCAGTCCTTGACTTCCATGCTATCAAACTACACATTGACGGAATCGAACCACCTATCCTTTCACCCATGCTGGTGCCCGCTTTTGCCCCGTTAGAGCATTTATCACAGTCCGTGAACCCAGACGCAGCTCCCACTGGCTCGCTTAGTGATTCACTTAGTGTCTTGCATCGTCCATCCTCTTCGAAATCAATGTCAGTAGTTTCGCTTATCATCAGACCCTCTCAACCACTTATCCGTATGTTTTTCAAATCGGAAAGTGTCCCTGATCAAGAGTCTGATTCTGCCCACATTTTTCGACGGCAGCCAGTTCCCTTATCTAACGTCCACTCGCGGGACTCGATCACAGTTATATCTGCTTGGGATGAACCGTTTTTCCTAGCATTATATCGATATATCCTGACATTTTTAATTGTCTTTAGCGTATTCGGATTGATCATGCACCGTAACCACACTCCACGATCTGTCCTGAAACTCCAGCTCCTGGAAGCCCATTTTTTTCCTGATCACGTCTCGTTCATTCCTAATAATTTCCTCCGTCACTGCCTTCTTATCCGAAATTTCCTAGCACTACACTCAGAGTTTCGGAAATGGAAGTACAAATAATCTGTCTACTCATCTCCGGATATCCATCTATCGCTCATAGGTTTTACTGGTTTTACACGAATCTTCTCTCCACTTCTCCGTCTTCGTTTGTAAGTAGCTTACATTTCGTCGACACTGTGATAGTGTTAGATCTCCGTTGGTTTTTATTCTTTTTAAGTAGCCCACACTATCTGGTACTCATACTGGCGATTATGCCTATATCGTCGACACTGTGGTAGTCTTACACCTCGGTTTTTGTTGTTTTTTTAATTACTTATTACTTTGGATTTGCAGTTCGCATGCATCCGCCACAAGTAACATTTTTTATTTTTGTGCCTGCGCAACAGATTGCGCCGAAGGTTCTTATGGCAGCTTCATGTATCCGCACACGATTTTTCTTGTTGTTTTTCTTTATTATCTTTTGTCAAACTACTTGCACTATGATAGTGTATCGTTTGACTATTTCAACAATGTATTGAAGCGTCAGATTTTGTGTAGAATGGCGCATATATTTTTTTTCTGCGAGTTCACTTTTCGTTGGACCTTACATATTCATCATCTTTACTGATATTCTCAACCTTTCTTCATTCCCAGCCTAATTCTGTGGATCGATAGTTCCTATCTTTCATTGGTGTAACCCCCGTTTATTCCCGAGTCGTTCATCGACATGAATGCACTCGCACCTCCCTCTCAAGGTCACTTGATTATTGGTGATAGTTTGGTACGTCATGCTCAGGCCACTGATTTGCTCTTGCGTCACGTTACTAGGGACCTTGCCGAATTGTCAAATACTCGGTCCTGCAACGTCTCACATTAAACGTCTGTCTGATGGTGTTCTTTTGGGCACGACTACTGTTGATCGTCTTAAACCCTACTGAATACCTCAGGTTTCCTCACTGCTCGTTACTACATGTCGTCCTAATACTTGACCACTTCGATGTCGCACATCCATTCCTCCTCATTGTTCAAGTGTCTCGCGTCGAAGCACGCGTGTTTCCAAATCTAACACTTGCTATTTAGTGTAGAGCGATGACATGATGGGCATTCTTCTAAAATTCTCCTGTTTTTCTGTGGATTTCCTTCATCCAGTAGTAAGGATTTGGAACGTCGAAAAATATCGGAATGAGAAGAATGTGTGTACGGTGTAGGCAAAGAAGCATTAGAATTCTGATAACTGGCAGGGAACTTCTGTTGGAACGAATGTTAGAACTCGCACTGCAGTTAGTTGAGGTTGAGAAGTAGACTGCTGCTGAGTCTGTACAACCTTCAACATCATCGCCAGATTATCGCAATTTATTTCTCTCTATGTTTTATTCATTTCTTTGATTACTTCGATCATTCCGGTGGTTTCGTTTCTCTCACTTCGATGGCTAACTTTAGAAGTAGTGGTTTTGACTGATCGAACGCGAGAAGTAATACTTGTTACAGATGGACGTGGTTCTACGCGAGTCGTGCATGGACCATTTGAAGCAATTCTAGCATCTAACTCAAGCTGTGACGCATCCCGCTCAGTCGAATAACTTGACTACCTTCTACCTTCCTTCTATCCCTAATCAATGGTATCTTCTGTGACATGTCAAATTCGGAAAGCGAAATGTCGACTAAAGGTTTCCTATCACACCACAGCCTCCTTAACAGCTGGAAAAATCTTACCAGACTGATAAAAATGTGTTCAGTGGGATTTGACCAAATGACTAATAAAAATTGAGAGGAGGTGACTGTAAAGGACCAATTGTCAATCACCACGAGGACCACTCAGCCAATAATCATTACTTACATAGCTTCTCTTCTTTTTCGATGTTCTCATGTTCAATATCTCTCTCTGTCTCTTTTCCTTCCTCTCTCTTATCTTTTTTTCCTTTGGGATGTGATCACGTAGAATATAGTATGTAGTGCAGTTCAGTTGGGTTTTTGTTTTTTTTGGTCGAAGTGTGTGTTACATTTATTCTTGCGTTTGATGTGATTAAATAAACGACCACCTGCGGTCAACGAAAGAAAGAGTCAATAAGGCACCTAAACAATTACGTGATATAAAAGTGTCACAGTGACGTAACGAATCGATAAACTGATGGTAGTATCGACTAATGATGTTGCTGGTAGTTCTGGTTGTACAGATTAATGTTATACCAGAATCTGGGTAGAACCTCCAATTTGTGGTGCTAATTCGGCCCTACTAACAGCTTCACAAAACAACACCCAATTCTTTTCTACCAGCAGCAACGATTATTATTAGTTGAACGATAAAAGTTTTGTAGTCCCTGGTCAAATATTTCCGTTCAGTATTTGGAAAAACAATCAGTACTATAGTCAATACGATATATGTAGTCTAAATGTATGTATAAAAAATGTTTGATTAAGATAATCATAATATTCTACTTTAAGGCCACCCCCTGTCAAAATTGGATCTCGGCTTCCATGCCACGAAATTGCATGACATTTTTAGGATATCTCGGTCATGGTATAGGGATGCTATGCTAAACTGTTCGGACCAATATCATGGCTATTTTCCTAGATATTCAAAAATTACGGGCAAAAAATAGCTTTTTTTCGAAACAAGAATTTTCGTAGAGGTTTCATCATAGACAATTATTATTTTTTTGTTCGATAGAGGACATCTACCTCTAGGGTGTTACAGAGCCTTTTTTTAAATTTGTGGTTTTCTTGCGGGGGAGAGAGGGCTTAGAAGTTCAATACCTTTCAAAAACCCGTAGAAAACGCCAGCAGTTTTCCAGAGATCCTTTTTTAATAAAAAAGAGAAAGCCTAATTTGAAAAAAGGCTTCTGTAACGCCCTAGAGCTGGATATACTCTTTCAATCAAAAACAAATTCTCTACACGGAAGCGTTGTCGAGAATTCTTGTTTCGACTATTTGCAAAAGAATGCTAAAACATAATTATTATCGATTAAAAAAAGAATGGGCTCGGCCATTTTTGAAATAAATTTTGAAAAAAATTTGTTTTGAAATAAATAAATAGAAAGTAGCTAGACAGCTCCGATTTTCACTATTTGAAAGAGGAGACTCGGCGACATATTTCCACAAGCAAAACTTTTTCAGAAGAGTTTTTTGAAACAGATTTTCTAGGAGGTCGTTGAAAAACTACGCCGTATGTAACAGTTTTCCAATCGGATTGATTCTTTTTTACGAACTGATAGCCCAGGTTGTTCTCTTCAAGATAGGAGTCGAGCGAGATTTTGATTTTCCGCGGTTCGAGACTTGCATCGGATTTCCTACGAGTCCCAGGACTGACACTCGGTGACTATTGGTAGGCTTGAAAATGGATGGACTATAGGTAATCGATCATGCTGCGTCTCGTGGTAATATTTGTTTTAGAAAAAGTTTTAAAAAGCTACCAAAAAGCGAGTTTTACGAAAGGTAGGGTTTTCAGGCTGTTTTCACCAAATATTAAAAAAATTCATAACTTACTCAATTTTCAACTTCAAATTAACTGTTTTCTCTTTATCTTCTCTCACATTCAGAGAAGAGGGAGTTCAATTATAAAGTTCACAGTTGCTTTTGGTCCACCATGGTTGCTTCATAGTGATAATGGAAAGGAGTTTGTTGCAAGAGTTACAATTGAATTAAAACAATTGTTTCTTACATGGTCACACACAGATGTTCTAGCTTCTCAGTTAATCACTCCTTCTCGAGATTGTGATTATTCTTTAATTCAAGCTCCTTCTAATACATCTAATACATCAGTGGATGAGTATGGCTTATTACCTAGTAGGAGAAACTAAGAGCATGATTTTAGCACATATAATTAATTTTATGACTTTATCAGTTGTGATCTCTGATTTTCCCATTTTAATTCCAATTTTGCCTAGGCAAATTCAGAATTTGCCTACAACATATTCAAATCTGCCTAAGATAATTGGCATTAATAGAGACGATGAAACCGTAATATTTTGGAATACTGTACCGAAGAAAAATGAATGTTTATTTTCTATTTTTGTTCATTGCAAAACAAATCTACCAATCATTTCACTTAAAAGAATACTATGCTTATTCGAAATCTTTAGCCAAGACAGTTCCATCGCTAGCTCATGTACAATAAGACGCTCTCGTCAAATAGAAAGCGAAGGTATGAATATTGACCATGACGTTTGGCTTTTCTCCCGTACAGGAGGAACACTTACTGTAATTTACAATCAAACACTGGTAAATTTGGTGGTCTCTTTTCTATTCACGAACCATCGATCGTACAAATGCCTTGTGACAATAACATTAAATGTACTAATGTTGAGTCGGCCTCATCTGCTTGCACTACTCGAATTGTATTGATCAAATTACTAGCCAATGAAAAATATGAGCGATTATCATCTATTACACGGTCGATTAAGAACATGGCAAAGCAACTGCTGACTATCTATAAACTGAGAACAAGAAATTCCTTAACATCTTTTGTTGATAATTTCATCCAATAATGGGTATTAAAGAAATCGGCAAAATATCATATTGTCAACAATTTTCATTATTTTTATTTTTGGTCCTCCTCTTCATTCGATGGATCAAGCATATGGTACAGAAACGGATCGACAAACTCGAAAAAGACTTAGATGACATTGTTCATAATGTAGTTTGAGATGTAACAAGCATTCATTTCAATAAAAATATATTTCTACTACTGTTGCCGATATTTTTCTATCTGTCAAATGTAAATACTTGCCAAACGAAAACCTAGATACAGAACTAGTATTTGAGGGTGGATCCCCACTTTTCGCTCGATGACCCCCTCATAAAGATCACCATTCGATAGAGAATTGAATTGTGCATGTTACACAATCAAAGAGAAAGTTTACACAAGCGCATAGACGAATATTAACAAGAAATACTCGAACCTACTGCTAAGTTTCCTTACCTCAGAAATATCGTAAATTGTCAAAACTTTTATTAGAAAGTGCAACATTGCTAGAACCAGAAATCTGGCATGCTAATAGTACAAAATCAGGCGGCCATTTTTCTCGTTTCCTCTACTGAACTAGATAATGCTTATCCAGCCACATAACAAATAAATCAGTGGAAAAGTAGCGGTTTCTCAATCCAGCAAAGCCACACTAAACAAAATTCCAATCAAACTTCGTTCTCTACGAGTTGGAAACTCCTTATTTACATGTTCAAATAGTACAGCATAGAGATTAACAAGTTCCCCTTAAATGGTTCACCATTCAGCGGACGCCCACCCAAAACCAAAACCCTTAATCCAACACAAATGACAGTTCCAATCTACCAACAAATCACAATGTAGCCACACATCATTGATTTAACGACAAAGCGCCCAGACAAAATGCACGAGTCACCCATGAAACACCAGCACATGACCACAACTTTCGCGAGCACCCTGCATAACGTTACCGTACAAAAACATAATTTCAAAGTGAGCAGCAGAATACACGTCACATCCGATGCGGTATCATTTATATCACTATCATGTATGCAACAACATCCTATTCAATCATCGCACGGTTCATGAAGATTTCACACTAGCATCATCAGCATAATAACGACGATAACTAGTATAACCAGGAGCATAACCAGCAGTATCAGCAAGCTATTATTCATATCATTCCTAGCTCTCACATTGCGCCAGACGACATTTCACTTCAGATGAAGTATGATTTATATCACTATCATGTATGCAACAACATCCTATTTAATCATCGCACGATTCATGAAGATTTCACATCAATAGTTTTGAGATGAATTATACGTCGTTTTTGGTGGGTGTCATGGTGAATGGCCTTTATTTTAAATGATGTTCCCGGTGGAAGCAGCACTTCTTCCTCGTATGGATAGTTGGAGCATGGTGATATGTCAATGCCACCCATGTCTGCTGCATCGATTATGAATAAGGTGTTGCCGAAACTTTCAGCGTTTTGACGACTTCTGCTTGTGGAAGTAAATCCGTCCCAGCACCGCGCCTCACCAATTGCTTCTTGGTAGCGTTTTAGCATTTCGTCGTTCAGGTTGGCTCCTCGATACAGTTTATCGCGGTAATGCGTGCGATGGTTGAACCAAGAACCTACTAGGAAGTAGCAAAATGGTGCGAGAGTATGCGTTTTGGTAGTATCATTTTTTCTTAACGTTTCGTTTACGAGTTTGTATAAAAAGCATTCTTTGGTATATAGATTGATACAGCATTTATAAATGTGCTTTCGGTCTTTGTTCTTCACAGCTCTCAGTTTGCCAGCCATCCATTGTGACTCACATGTTTGGCCACTTTCCTTCCCTTCTATAATTATTCCGTTGGCCGCCTGCTCTATTATTTCAGCATCAGAAATGTTACGATTTTTGTTGATCCAGATTCTTACAAAACCTAGAGCCGACGCCCCGTAATCATCATTGAACGGTTTGTTCAATACTTGTGGATGAAAGAATCTTTCTTCTCGTAAACCTTGGTTCTCATTTCTGTTAATTAGCACTCGCTTGATTTGTCTTTGTTTACTTTTATCATATTTATTAATTTGAATGTAGTCATTTAAGTTAATCCAGTAATTGTCCAATTCAACCAGTTTTGTTTTAGTTTTCTCATTAGATGCTTCTTCAATGATTTCGGATTCGATATCCGAATATTTTGTCCATTCTTCTTTTTTATTCACTGACCATGGGTCAGAATTCGATTTCCAATACCATTGTGCTCGTTTTTGATCAATTTGATTCACCACCTGATTTGCCATGGATTACGTCGCTTCTAGCTTGTTGTTATTAAAAATGTTCGTAGAACTAAAAAAGTATAAAGCAAGTAGCAAGAATTTTGTGTATTGGTCAATTCTCAAGGACATCTCTGAGTATCTATGTTTATGTTCTTATAAGCTTTATTGAAAAGAAAAAAGAAAAAAGTTAGAAACGATCAGTACAATAATGAGGAGAAGGAGGCGAACCCATTGTATCTTTACATCATTGACTGCGGACAAAGGACAGGACAAGAAATACATATAAAAACAAGTGACAAGGACAACATAAAAAAGACAAGTACAGAGAAAAATAAAGACAAAAAATGAAGAATGAAGAAATAGGCGTACAAGGAGGGAAAGGAGGTAGAATTGTTGTGTCTTTAATATAAGTTGATATAAGCTTTATTATATTATGTAATGAAGAGAAGAAGAAAAAGAAAACAGCTACTGGATAGACATATGTACAGAAGAAAAAGAAAGAGGAAAAACCCATGAGGTCATTTTGACTGTTCTATAAAATAAAAAGTTACAAATGTACACTGATATTACACATTCATTTTCTAGCACGGTTAGATAAAAAAAACATGTACACAAAATACATGCACGCTTGATAAGAAACAATACAACAAGAAACAATACAATAAGAAAGTGTACGACTAGAAAGAAGAAAATAAGAAGGTAAAAGTATAACAAATAAAAGCAAAATCAGGGAAAGGCAAAGAAAAAGAACGAGAACTAAAGAGGAGAAGGGTAAATATGGTATAAGGGAGACAGATTAAGAGATTGTTTGGGGTTCAAAAACGATCAGTATTTTTTATATAGTTAGTAATAAAGAAATGTAGCTGACAGATTTGTGAATTATCTAGATTATCAAATTTTTCTAGAAATAGTACATTTGCAAGCGTAAAGGAGATAGTAGGAGCTAGAGATGACCAGCCAGAAATAAGTGTTTGTCGTTGATGCTGGTAACGTGGACATTCCAACAGAAAATGTTTGACTGACTCTACTTTTCCACAAGCGCAAAAGCGACTAGTACTCAAATGTTTTTGAAAAAGATCATAATTTAGTCGAGAGAAGTTGACTCTCATTTGATTTAGAATGCAATCGTATTTACGCTCACTGAGTTTAATGTTCTTTTTGCTAGTGTAAAAAGAAAATTTGATATTTCACTACTGGATTTGTGCAGATTATGGGGCTAGCGATACCGAGCGCTGGATATCAACAACGGTATTGGTATCGATCTCAAGAGCGTCAGAAAATTCTGAGATGGTATCGAAAAGAATCAAAATTTATCAAGCTCTTATTGAAATGCCGAAGTTTTGCATTCGAGTTAATGAAGCATTTTCTTTTTAATCGATCAAGTCTTTTGTTTGCTTTCAATATCTGGTTGACTAGACATTGACGCATGTTTTCAGCATGAAGATATCACACTGCGCTTTCATCAAAAATGAGCAACAAGAAAAGATTGCAAGCGGTAAGGCTTTCTGGTTTTGAAAATTATCAGCGGGTTGATGACGGGCCTTTTGACTACAGCATTCATGGCTTTCGAAATGACGTGAGATCTATTAGAAGACGAAGAAACCTTCGGTTATTTTATCGATCCCATAGTGTTCAGTTTATCGTTCCTTCCTCTCTCTAAAGCAAGGAAAAGAAAAACAGGACTACATTACTCTATTTTTGATTTAAACAGTTCACGATACCGATACTGAGATGTTATTGGTATCGAGGGTTCGATACCATCTTTGGCTCTACTTCTCGTCATCCTTTTATTTTGCGCTCACGTAAGTAACACTGAAACTAACTGAATTTCGTAGTTACTTTTTTCTCAGGCTCTGCTATTATTCGTTCTCTCGAAGGTATTCAACAGCTGTCAGGGAGCACACAGTGCAGATCAAGGACCATGGTTCGAGGCCCAATAATATGAAATTCCTCCTCAGTCTTTAACTCTGTTCAAGTGCCACTTTGAAAGTGTAAAGCAGATATTCAAACTACCTTGGGGATCATAACTGAAATGCTATAAAAAACTTCATCGATCTTATGAATGGGATGCTAACAGCTTCTTATCTATTCTTGGAAAACTCTTAGAGGATAATCTTAGTAAGATCTTATCATACTTTAGGTTTTGACTAGTGGTTCTCGCTACTTTCCGTTATCGTTCGTTGTCTAAAAAGTTTTGATGACTGCAGCACTTAGTATAGTTGTGTACTTCAATATTCCATATAGTAACAAAATCCAGCTTTATGTTACCTTCCAGTACCGAGAAAAATCTTTTATATTCAGCGAAATAATGTTTAAGCACATTTTAAGGTATACACCGTTTTTTCAACAATAAAGACATATGAAAATGTTTTACAAGGAAACAACTGGTGTGAAATGGATGAATAAGAGCTTCCCTGTCTTCTTAACGAATTTAAAAGTTAAAAATCATGTCTGTTGACTTTTTGAGGTTTAGTTTGGGCTTTGCCATCTCCAGCTTCCAACTGTATTTCCAGCTAAGCTTTCTTCAAAGCACTAAGATAGGTGAAAATCATTATATCGGTCAAGTATTTCAACTATTGACCAATGTGGACATATTTTTGAAAGACCCATTTATACGTAGATTTCGACGTAGATTCTGAATCTGTGATCAATTTTGAGCGGAGTATATCTATTGACTACGCAAAAGGAGAATTACTTGCTCAATTGTGTACTTTTGTAGCACTTTTATATCATGGTGTCAAAATTTTTCCACACAAAGTAACAGCGCTAACCAAACTAAACACAGGTCCTAATAGTAGAACTTGGGCTCTACAATCTGTGATACATGGCTTTTCATTCCACTTTTGGCAAAATTAGTGAGACGTTTTACAAAATTTGAGGGACGTTTTTAAATATTGTGAGACGTTTTACAATATTTTCGAATATCATGACTTAATCATATTAAAAAACTTTTTTTCTAGAAGTGTTTTTTTTAATTGTTGAATCACATTTTCCGATAGAATTGACTATTCTGCACAAGATTCTGTTTGATTGGAAGCCATTGGTTTGATATCCTTGTAAAAAAATCGAAACAAGTGAAGGATGGGGGCTTTTTTTTCACTTTTTCGATGTTCTTTGCGGCATAACTCTAAAAGGGAGGGGTTTGAAGAGTCGGTGAACACATGATAGTGAGATCATTACATCTATGTATTATGAACTAGTACTTGTGTTGAATTTTAATGGTGAAATATGAGATCTTATGGAAAAACAGGTGAAATTCTTAATTTTTGTCTACTTTAGAGGCAAATTAGTGATGGAAGCTTAAGTTCTAGAGAAATATTGCCAATGTAAAAAATGATCAGCTCGACGGGCTCTACATTCCTGGCGTATCAAAAACTCTTTTCGACAATTTTAAAAAAGTCGATTTTTCCCCAAATTGGGCACTTTCAGGAAGCCATAACTTTTTTATTTCCTTATGAGTAAAAAAATTATATTCTTGGGAGCAGGACAACTTGTTCTCTATACCATGAAATTTACAAACAGTTCTGAGGTGTGTCACTTCCCAAAGTCCGTGATTCTTACAGACAATGGCTCTTAAGATCATTTTCAATCATACGATCGAATAAGAATCGCGAAATACAGCGAAGTGGGACTTAATTTACCTGAGCAAATGTTTCTCAAAAGTAAACTCCAAAGCTTATCGAAAATTAGATAGTTCAATAGTATGACTACGGCCTAAGAGGTGTTCATGTATAGTAGAAGAACAGCGGACCGAAATTGCTGTGTACTTTCTCTGACTTTGTATTAATATTGTCTGTTCCTTTTCAGATAGAGCTTATGGCAGGTATCGTCCCGTTTCGCCGACTAATTAATTTTTTTCCTGCCTTGTCGACAACATTGAGGCGGGGAGATGAAATATGTCTGTGAGCCGCCGACACTGTAAAGTGTCGACGAAACGGGACTGAATCCTTATGGCGTGATGGAAGCAACATCTGGTTGGCAAAAATATTGAAAATTGATTTCACCATGTTCTCGAAGAAAAGTCCGAGTAAAACATGGTGAAATCAAGCATAGCGAGCTAAAAGCCTTCCACAAAGCTAGAGATCGATTAGGCATGCCTTTCTTCGGGTATACCCTTGAGCAAAAAACGTCACTAGGTCGCAGTTCGAAACAGTTTCCCTCTTTAAAAACGGTATACTACACCGTTTGTGTACTACGTGCCGTTTTCGAAAAACGTCACGTTTACGGCCCGTTAACGTAGACTTAACGGGAAGTTAACTTGGCCGTTTTGAACGGCCTGGGATGTATATGTAATCACACATATATCTGTGAATAAAAAGATGTGTAGAAAGCAAAACTACAATGGAATTTGACACCAAATGAAAGCGAAAAACGGAACGGATTAGCAGCTGTAGCAAACAGCACAAAATCAGATGAGATTCTGCAGTGATCTTACCAAATCGTATGCTAAGATACCTGTACAATCTTATAAGATCTTATATGATCTTACTGTAAGATTCTATAAACTGAATCAGTTTCTATGATTTTCCGTAAGATTTTATACGATCTTGTACGATTTTTGTCTGATATTACAAGGTCATACTGTAGGATCATATAAAATCTTATAAGAATCTTATAAGAACTTACAGTAAGGTTCTTTGATCTGGGAACCTTTGCATAAGTGTGTATATAATTATCCTCTCTCTTATCATGGTTAAGGGGGAGATAACGAACACCAGTTTTTTTCATATTTAATATTTAATTATTTCTTTCTTCTTCTTTCTTCAGTTTATTCAAAATTTAATTTATTGAGAAACTAGTCGTGCCTTGCCTATTTATCTTCTCATTGTCTTCTTTTCCATCAGAAAATTCTTTCGATTAAGGGGTTCAAAGTGAATACTAAAAGTTTCTCAAAGTGCGCTCACTGAATAAATACAGCCCTCAGTTGCGCTGCATCTCGTCTGTCTTAGGTGTATACCTTCATTTATAGCCACGAGTTTTTTAAGTATTTTTAAAGAGCAGTCTTTTTGCTGTAAATACTTTTC